TTATTTATTTATTTATTCAATTTATATACCGCCCTTCTCCTAGTGGACTCAGGGCGGTGCACAGCCAAAACTAAAATACATAACAATACAAAATTTAAAATTAATTAAAAGAATTATATACTTTGGCCCGAGTTAAAACAATGCGAATTAAAACCCATTAACAGATTAAAACTAAACAATTAATAACCATTAAAAACTAAAAAACTAAAAAAGGGGGCGGGGTTCACGCCAGCCCTGCAAAATCCCCATTCCCACCCCACTCCAGGGGAAGGATATTGCAAAATCTCCATTCCCACCCCATTCTGGGGCCACCCAGAGGTGGTATTTACTGGTTCTCCAAACTACTCAAAATTTCCGCTACCGGTTCTCCAGAAGCTGTCAGAATCTGCTGAATTTCATCCCTGCTACTACTCCCCCCCCCAAAAAAAGTGGTTGTCAGGTTTCGATGTCATCTCAAATAAATTGCACTCCCAAATAATTAATCTTTGCTGAAATATTCCGTTTATTGAGTATGACAGATCTGGCCCCGTCTTCGTCGTAGCCAATGCTAACCCTCTGACCCCCAAACCCTTCCCTTTCCGTTCCCCAACTCTCATCTTCTCATTGGCCATCTTCCAAGTCAGTCTCCCCAGCTTCTGACCTCAACCCACAGGAATGTCCCCCTCGCATCCCATCTCCTAGGGGATATTATCTACAGAGAAAATAAGTAGATGAAAAGTCAAGCCTCGTCTCCTCCTTTTTATGGCAGCATCAGAATGCTGACAGTGGTGTGATTAGCTAGTTTTAGAAAAGACACTTTTCCCAAAAGGAGAAAATACACTTTTCCCGAAAGGTTTCCACAATTTTGGCCACTCCGGTAGCGCCATCCTTCTGCTTTCTCTGGAGGGCATCTTGCTTGCAGGAAGCTGACATGACACTTTCACAAAAGATGAGTAGAGATGAAACGTAGGCAGGTTTCTAGCTTTACGGCAATGTTTTCCCGGCGGCCGTTTAGACATGAATCGTAGTGACGATCAGAGCTCCAATTTTAGGTTAAATCTTGAACTGAGAACTGGAGGGGGGGCTTTTCCCCTCCCCTCCCCTTGAAAATGATAATATTGCAGTGATTATGAAAGTAGAAGAGCGGCTGCTGGCCGAATAAGATTCAAGATTTAAGAGCTGCATCGTTTACGGAGGAAGCTCCACCTGGATGTGCCACAGGTAGACAATTTATTTATTTATTTATTGGTTCGATTTATATGCCGCCCTTCTCCGGAGACTCAGGGCGGCTTACAATGCGTTAAGCAGTAGCCTTCATACTTTTGTATACACCTGCTTAGTAGGGCTTTTGGCCCCCCCTAAGCGGTGTTCTTTTTATACAAAGTCAGTTTATTGCCCCACAATCCGGGTCCTCATTTTACCTACCTTAGAAAGGATGGAAGGCTGAGTCAACCTTGAGCCTGGTGAGATTTGAACTTGCAGTAATTGCAAGCACCTGGAGCTACTTAACAGCGCTTTAGTCTGCTGCGCCACCAATTCTAACCGTCTTTGCAACTAGGAGCCCTTCTGCTAGGACAGGACAGGAGGGAGTAAACTACAAGCCAGGCCTGACTGTCACTTCTCCTGAAAAAATAACAACAACAACGAATTCTCCTCCTCTTCTTCTTCGACAAGATGAAATGGGTAACCTTCCAAGGTGGAGCCCTCGTTCGGCCAGAAGCTGGGAAGAAAAGATTTGGCTTATCTTGCTGGGCAATTGAATGAGAATAAATTGCGAATCAGCTCCTTCCTTCCTTCCTTCCTTCCTTCCTTCCTTCCTTCCTTCCTTCCTTCCTTCCTTCCTTCCTTCCTTCCTTCCTCCCTTTTTCTCCCTCTCTCCTTCCTCCCTCCCTCCCTCCTTCCGTCTTTCCTTCCTTCCTTTCTGCTCCCCCTCCCTCCTTCCTCCCTTCTTCTCCCTCCCTCCCTCCTTCCTTTCTTTCCTTCCTTCCTTCTTTCCTTCCTTCCTTCCCCCCTCCCCCTCCCTCCTTCCTCCCTTCTTCTCCCTCCCTCCCTCCTTCCTTCCTCCCTCCCTCTTTCCTTCCTTCTTTCCTTCTTCTCCCTCTCCCTCCCTCCCTTCTTCCTTCTCCCTCCCTCCCTCCCTCCCTCCCTCCTTCCTTCCTTCCTTCTCCCCCTCCCCCTCCCTCCTTCCTCCCTTCTTCTCCCTCCCTCCCTCCTTCCTTCCTCCCTCCCTCCCTCTTTCCTTCCTTCCTTCCTTCCTTCCCTTCCTTCCTTCCTTCCTTCCGCAAACCCCACCCCATTCTAGCACTGATGATGTTATATAGTTGGGTAATGAAATATCTACAAGAATACCACCAAGCTCAGAGAACACTCCTCCTCCTCCTCCTCCTTCTACCACGGATGTTATTATCTAGTTGGGTAGTGAAACATCTACAGGAGAACCACCAAGCTCAGAGAGCATCCAGGACCCCACAATCCTCCTCTTCCTCCCCACCTCCTCCTCGTCCCTCCCTCCCTCCTTCCCTTCTTCAGAAAACGGACTGAAAGATCCGACATCCGACGAAACACCTGGCTATGAAGCCGCAAGCAGGAGCCGCCTCTCCCTCTCCCTCTCCCTCTCCCTCTCTTCTGGAAGCCACGGGACGGTCGCTTAGCACGGCCTCCGCCCCGCCGGGAGGACCTTCGCATCTTTCTTTCTTTCTTTCTTTCTTTCTTTCTTTCTTTCTTTCTTTCTTTCTTTCTTTCTTTCTTTCTTTCTTTCCTTCCTTCCTTCCTTCCTTCCTTCCTTCCTTCCTTCCTTCCTTCCTTCCTTTCTAATTCTCCGGCGCTGCTGGACTCCCGGACGTTTTGTCAGAAAGGCAAAAGAATCCGCCAGTTCGATTCCCGGGTTGGCTTATGGATTTTTCTTTTTTCTTTTTTTCTTTTTTTTTCTTTTCTTTTTCTTCTTCTCTCCCCCACCGGCGCCAAGAAAGCTTCAGGATTGCAAGGGAGCATAATCCATCCTTTGGGAAGTCCTCTCCCCAATCCCCCCGCAAGCCCCAAACCCTCCCCATCGGCTCTTATTCTTCCTGGCTAGGTAGGCGCAAGTTGTAGCATCGCTCCTTGCAAAGTTGCCCCCCCTTTTCCCCCCCCTCCACTACCCCAGAGCCCCCCTTCCAGCTCCCCCTTCTCTCTCGCGACCCAAGCCGGTGCCATCCTCCTGTCCCCTCCTCTGCTTCCCCCCCACCCCTTCCCCTCACCCCCCACCCCCGCCCTTCCCGAACCGGCTCTGCGCAAGGTCCCCGCGGCTCCGTTCCCCCCCCCTTTTTTTTTTGCTGCCTGCGCTTGACGTCAGCTCGTCTTTCCCCCCACCGGCTGCTGCGGCGGGTCGAGCTGGAGAACCGGCCGGCGGGGACTCAGGGAAGGCTGCGGAACCTGAAGACCCCCCACTCCCACAGCCCCGGGAACGACCCCACCGCTCCCCCGGCCTCAGCTCCTGCTCTGCGGCGGGCAGGACGGGCCAGCAGCGGCCGGGGGTCCCGCAGGCAACCTTCAACCGGGCGCCCCCAGCAGACCCTCCACTAGAGGGGAAGGGGGGGAAAATCCCCCAGTGGGGTCTGCCGAGAGGCTGCTGGGGCTGCGCGCCCCGCGGAGAAGGAGCCCTTTCCTGCAAGGAGACCCCCCCCACGCCCCCCGACCCTTAGACGCACCGCCGAGGGGAGCTGCCGTTGGAGACCCCAGAGGTTCGGGAAAAGACTTCTTGGGGGGGGGGTCCCGGCTGCTCAGAAGACCCCCGCTCTTAGCCGCATCGCCGAGAGGAGCTGCCGAGGCTGAGGACCCCAGAGGAGACCCCCCACCCTTAGTCGCATCGCCGAGGGGGGCTGCTAGAGCTGAGGACCCCAGAGGTTCGGGAGAAGACTTTCTCGGGGGTCCCGAGAAGACCCCCACTCTTAGCCGCGTCGCCGAGAGGAGCTGCCGGGGGGACCCCAGAGGAGACCCCCACCCTTAGCCCTATCGCCGTTGGAGCTGCCGTTGGAGACCCCAGAGGTTCGGGAGAAGACTTCCTGTGGGGTCCCGACTACTTAGAAGACCCCCGCTCTTAGCCGCATCGTCGAGAGGAGCTGCCAGGGGTGAGGACCCCAGAGGTTCGGGAGAAGACTTTTTCGGGGTCCCGGCTGCTCAGAAGACCCCCACTCTTAGCCGCGTCGCCGAGAGGAGCTGCCGTTGGAGACCCCAGAGGTTCGGGAGAAGACTTCCTGGGGGGGTCCCGGCTGCTCAGAAGACCCCCACCCTTAGCCGCATCGCCGAGAGGAGCTGCCGGGGGGGACCCCAGAGGAGACCCCCACCCTTAGACGCACCGCCGAGGAGAGCTTTCCGTTGGAGACCCCAGAGGTTCGGGAAAAGACTTCCTGGGGGGGTCCCGGCCGGTCAGAAGACCCCCCCCCCCGCCCACAACCTTAGCGGCATCGTCGAGGGGGATTGCCAGGGGTTGAGGACCCCAGAGATTCGGGAGAAGACTTTCTCGGGGGTCCCGGCTACTTAGAAGACCCCCACCCTTAGCCGCATCGACGAGAGGGACTGCCAGGGGTGAGGTCCCCAGAGCTTAGGGAGAAGACTTTCTCGGGGGTCCCGGCTGCTCAGAAGACCCCCATCCTTAGCTGCATCGACGAGAGGAGCTGCCAGGGGGACCCCAGAGGAAACCCCCCACCCTTAGCCGCATCGCCGAGGGGAGCTGCCGTTGGAGACCCCAGAGGTTCGGGAGAAGACTTTCTCGGGGGTCCCGGCTGCTCAGAAGACCCCCACCCTTAGCTGCATCGCCGAGAGGAGCTGCCGGGGGGGGGGAACCCAGAGGTTCGGGAGAAGACTTTCTTGTGGGAGGGGGTGTCCCAGCCGCTCAGGACCCCCCCCCCAAAGAAACCGGCGCAGGATTTTCGCGCGTGGCGGGAGATCGGAATCGCTCGTGGTGCCGAGGACGCCAGCGCCTGGTGGGTGGGTAGGTGGGTGGGTGGGTGAGTGGGTGGGGGGGGTCTCCCGGTTCAAGCAGCGGGAGGCATGGCCCTGAAGGAAAGCGGCGGCGGCCCCGGCGCGACCACCACCACCACCACCACCATCCTCCCCATCAGCGAGATGGTCTCGGGCTGTTCCTCCGCGGCCGCCCCGTCGTCGGGCTGCGCTTTCCCCGAGGTGGTGGAGCTGAACGTGGGCGGCCAGGTGTACGTGACCCGGCATTCCACCTTGCTGAGCGTCCCGGAGAGCACCTTGGCGCAGATGTTCTGCCCTCGACGGAGCGGCGGCCGGGAGCTGCCCCGCGACAGCCGCGCCCGCTTCTTCATCGACCGCGACGGCTTCCTCTTCAGGTACGTCCTGGATTACCTGCGGGACAAGCAGGTGGCTCTGCCCGAGCATTTCCCGGAGAAGGAGCGGCTCCTGCGCGAAGCCGAACATTTCCAGCTGGCCGAGCTGGTCAAGCTCCTGTCCCCCAGAGTGGCCAAGCAGGGCTCGCTTAACGACGAAGGCTGCCAGAGCGACTTGGAGGAAAGCGCCTCGCCCGGCAGCGGGGAGCTCTTAGTACCTGCGCCTCCCCGGGCAGGGGAGAGGCGAGCGGGCTTCCTCACCGTGGGCTACCGGGGCTCCTACACGGCGGTGCGGGACAACCAAGCGGACGCCAAGTTCCGACGGGTGGCTCGGATCATGGTCTGCGGCCGCATCGCTCTGGCCAAGGAGATCTTCGGCGAGACGCTCAACGAGAGCCGCGACCCCGACAGGCCGCCCGAGAAGTACACCTCCCGCTTCTACCTGAAGTACACCTACCTGGAGCAGGCCTTCGACCGGCTCTCCGAGGCCGGCTTCCACATGGTCGCCTGCAACTCCACCGGCACCGCCGCCTTCATCAACCAGTACAGGGAGGATAAGGTCTGGAGTAGCTACACCGAGTACATCTTCTACCGTGAGTAGCTTCCCGCTCTTTCTTTCCTTCCTTCCTTCCCCCCTTGTGTCCGTCCTTACTCTTCTTTCCTGCCTTCTTTCGTTTGATCTCTCCCTCCCTTTTCCTTCCTTCTCTTTCCCTTTCTATCCCCCCTCTCACCTTCCTTCCTTCTTTCTTTTAATCTCTCCCTTCCTTTTCCTTTCTTCCTTACTTCATTCCCTCCCTCCTTCCCTCCCTCCTTTTCCTTCCTTCTTTCCTTCTGATCTCTCCCTCCCTTTTCCTTCCTTTTTTCTCTTTCTATCCCTTCCTCCATCCCTCTCACCTTCCTTTCTTCCCTCATTCCTTCCCTCTTTTTCCTTCCTTCCTTCTTTCTGTTGATCTCTCCCTTCCTTTTCCTTCCTTCCTTCCTTCCCTCCCACATTCCCTCCCTCTTTTTCCTTCCTTCCTTCTTTCCTTCCTTCTTTCTTTTGATCTCTCCCTCCCTTTTCCTTCCTTCCCTTTCTACACCTCCCTCCTCCTCTCTCTCTTTCCTTCCTTCCCTCCCTCTTTTCCTTCCTTCTTTCTTTCTTTCCTTCCTTCTTTCTTTTGCTCCCTCCCTTTTTCTTCCTTCTCTTTCTATCCCTCCCTCCGTCCCTCTCACCTTCCTTCCCTCCCTCCTTCCCTCCCTCTTTTTCCTCCCTTCTTTCCTCCCTTCTTTCTTTTGATCTCTCCCTCCCTTTTCCATCCTTTCCTCCCTTCCCTCCCTCCCTTGCATCCTTCCTTCCTGTTCTCTTATTTCTTTCCTTCCTTCCTCCCCTCCCTCCCTTGCATCCTTCCTTCCTGTTCTCTTATTTCCTTCCTTCCTTCCCTCACTCCCTTGCATCCTTCCTTCCTGTTCTCTTATTTCCTTCCTTCCTTCCTTCCCTCACTCTCTTGCATCCTTCCTTCCTGTTCTCTTATTTCCTTCCTTCGTTCCTTCCTTCGTTCCTTCCTTCCCTCACTCTCCTGCATTCTTCCTTCCTGTTCTCTTATTTCCTTCCTTCCCTCCCTCCCTCCCTTCCCTCCCTCCCTTGCATCCTTCCTTCCTGTTCTCTTATTTCTTTCCTTCCTTCCTTCCTTCCTTCCTTCCTTCCTTCCTTCCTTCCTTCCCTCCTTCCCTCCTTCCCTCCCTCCTGACAGGTGGACAGGGTTTTCTTTACGACAGGAAACTGCTCCTTTCATTTTTCCTTAAAGGAGTTGGGAAAGTCAAATAGGAAGTGCCTCTTAAGAGACACGGAGGGTGTTTGCTTCACTCCTCTGGGTAGTTAAAAGAAAGAAAGAAAGAAAGAAAAGTTTCTTGCAGAACATCAGAGCTTTATTATTATTTATTAGATATGTACAGAGCCTCGCTGCCATCCACTTTCCCCAAATAAAAACAGCAAGAAATAATAATAATAACAACAACAGTAACAACAACAACAACAATAAAACAACCTAACAGTAAACAGAAAAGAGCATAACTGGGTAACCACAAACACACACACAGCATTCAAAAGGGGGCTTCAACCCCCCTCCCCAGTCCAAAGCCTGGGCACAGAGCCAGATTTTCAAGACCCTCTGCAATGCCGAGTTTCCTTCCAAGAAAACCTTTGAGAATTTTGTTAATTAGAATCCACCATTAGGGTGGAACCTTGCAACATTAAAATTAATAGCTTTCCCCCCCCCAAGTAGCAAAGAGCAGCATTTATTAAAGCTGAGAGAGATTGTTCCGGTCTCCAAAAATTCATAACATTCAGGCTAGAGTGAAGATTTGGTCTCCGGAACTGTACGTTCCACCTGTAATTTTCAATTTGTGGGTTTTTTTTTTTAAAAAAAACGTTGTTGTCATTTTCCTCGACGCGTCCTTTTTCAGAAAATCCAATTTGGTAAATTCGTGCGCGCGTGTAGAAAAGGGCTAAATCCATTATACACACACACACACACGCACCCGTTAGTGCTGTGCCTAACGCACAATTTATTTGGGTCAAGGTGTGTGGCGACAAAGGAAAAAAAATCCTGCAGGCTTTCCTTTGTTAGTGTGATGTGTTTTGTAGTTGTTGTTGTTGAAATGAATCAATGCAAACACTTGTTTTTTTTTTAAAAAAAAAGATTTGGGGGGATAAAAGCATGAATGTCTTTGAAACTTGAGGGATGCACTATCGATCCACGTTTGAAGATGGTTGGCCTTTTCTCTCGTTTCTGATTCATTTCTTTTTCCTCCTGATATTCTGATTAAGTGTGGTACCTTATGATTCTTAACGAATGTATCTTGTCTTTTATGTACACTGAGAGCATATGCACCAAAGACAAATTCCTTGTGTGTCCAATCACACTTGGCCAATAAGGAATTCTATTCTATTCTATTCTATTCTATTCTATTCTATTCTATTCTATTCTATTCTATTCTATTCTATTCTATTCTATTCTATTCTATTCTATTCTATTCTTATTCTACTCTACTCTACTCTACTCTATTCTATTCCATTCCATTCCATTCCATTCCATTCCATTCTATTCTATTCTATTCTATTCTATTCTTTTCTATTCTATTCTACTCTACTCTACTCTACTCTACTCTACTCTACTCTACTCTATTCTTTATTCCAATATTTTTTTCTATTCTACTCTATTCTATTCTAGTCTATTATTACCTAATTCTTCATTACATTATTCTATTCTACTCTATTCTTTATTCCAATATTCTATTCTATTCTATTCTATTCTATTCTATTCTATTCTATTCTATTCTATTCTATTCTATTCTATTCTATTCTATTATTACCTAATTCTTCATTACATTATTCTATTCTATTCTATTCTATTCTATTCTATTCTATTCTATTCTACTCTACTCTACTCTACTCTACTCTACTCTACTCTACTCTACTCTATTATTACCTAATTCTTCATTACATTATTCTATTCTATTCTATTCTATTCTACGCTACTCTATTATTACCTAATTCTTCATTACATTATTCTATTCTATTCTATTCTATTCTATTCTATTCTATTCTATTCTATTCTATTCTATTCTATTCTATTCTATTCTATTCTATTCTATTCTTTTGGGGAGAGGCATATTTCAATGATGTTACCCCACAGCAGTCTTTTTAAATCTCAAGTAGGAACCTTTCCCTTGGATGTGATGTTGACTTGATCCTGGTTGATATGCAAGTTCCACCGATGGTGGTGTAAATCACGAGCTTGGTATTTCGGCAGTCAAGGCGTGCGTAAAGATGCACGAGGGAAATTTGCTTGCTTTTATTTCACGTCGAGCATGGAAATACAAGGGGAAAAAAGGTCTTTCCAGGTTTTTACGGCACAGGGTGGTAGAACGTAAGATGTCGGTGAATTGATTTGATCTGTAATTTCGGCCCCTCAGATTTCCAAAAATAATCTTTCGTAAAGGTTTAGAGAGAGTGGCGTTGTTGGATGTTGAGGGTTGGGTTGGGCTCCTCCTGATGAACGGAGGCTTTGCTGAAGAAGATGAAAGCAAGGCGAGGCTAGAAGTATGGAAAGATGGTTAATATTTTATCACTTCTTTCCCTTCTCTTGAACTACAAAGTAAACAGACTCCATCTGGGCCTATTTTCAGTGTGGAGAGAGAGCGGGAGAGGGAGAGAGAGAGAAGGGTTGGGAGGAAGGGGAGAGAGAGAGGGAGAGAGGGAGAGAGAGAGAAGTGTTGGGAGAGAGAGAGAGAAGTGTTGGGAGGGAGGGAGGGAGGGAGAGAGAGAGAGAGAGAGAGAGAGAAGGTTTGGGAGGAAGGGAGAGAGAGGGAGAGAGAGAGAAGGGTTGGGAGGGAGGGAGGGAGAGGGAGAGAAAGAGGGAGATAAGGAGGCTGGGAGGGAGGGAGGGAAAGAGAGAGAGGGAGAGAGAGAAAGCGAGAGAGAAAGAGAAGGGGAGAAAGAGACAGGGGGGATTGGGAGGGAGAGAGAGAGTGGGGGAGAGTGAGAGAGAGAGGCATTGGGAGGGAGGGAGAGAGAGAGGGGGGAGAGAGGGAGGGAGAGAGAAGGGTTGGGAGGGAGGGAGGGAGAGGGAGAGAAAGAGGGGGATAAGGAGGCTGGGAGGGACGGAAAGAGAGAGAGGGACAGAGAGAAAGTGAGAGAGAAAGAGAAGGGGAGAAAGACGGAGGTTGGGAGGGAGGGAGAGAGTGGGGGAGAAGGAGAGAGAGAGGCATTGGGAGGGAGGAGGGAGAGAGGGAAGAGAGAGGGAGGGAGAGAGAGAAGGGTTGGGAGGGAGGGAGAGGGAGAGAAAGAGGGAGATAAGGTGGCTGGGAGGGAGGGAGGGAAAGAGAGAGGGAGAGAGAGAAAGCGAGAGAGAAAGAGAAGGGGAGAAAGAGACGGGGGATTGGGAGGGAGGAGAGAGAGAGGGAGAGAGAGAAGGATTGGGAGGGAGGGAGAGGGAGAGAAAGAGGGAGATAAGGAGGCTGGGAGGGAGGGACGGAAAGAGAGAGATGGACAAAGAGAGAGAGAAAGAGAAGGAGGAGAAAGAGACAGAGAGAGAGGGGGGATTGGGAGGGAGGGACGGAGAGGGGAGAGAAAGAGCTGAAAAAAGCCTCTGAAACCTCCGTTTGAGAGGCTGAAAAAACAGCCTCTCAAATGGAGGGTTCAGAGGTTGAAAAAAAAAAGCCTCTGAAACGGAGTTTTCGGAGGCTGAAAAAAAAAGCCTCTGAAACCTCCGTTTGAGAGGCTGAAAAAAAAATCAAGGCACAGAGTTTACAACCAAGAAACTGTTGCTAAAATTCACCTCTGGGAACAGCTGATTGGGGGTATTCCGGGAGGCCGATCCACCCGCCAACCAGCATTTTTCTTATTTTCCTCCCCAAAAACTAAGGTGCCTCTTATAGTCCGAAAAATACAGTACTTTAGAATTAGAATTCTTAAAATAACAGAGTTGGAAGGGACCTTGGAGGTCTTCTAGTCCAACCCCATATTATTTCAAACATAGGGTTGTCCAACCTCTTCTTGAAAACCTCCAGTGATGGAGCGCCCACAACTTCTAGTGGCATGTAGTTCCACAGA